CTACTGACTCAGCTGAATCTCTCTTCCAAATTTCAGCTAGATGAGGCATGTTCCTTTATTCTTTGTTTTAAATTTTATTTTTAGCATGAGAAATATTTTAAAAATTCCTAACATGAATGCTCCAAAGTATGTCTGAAATGCAAAGTTTCCAAAACATATGTTATATTTAAAATATAAAAGTGTGACTCATCACTTTTTCCCCAATCCTGCACTTTTTAAAATTTGTTATCTTAGTGTACATCAATACCTTTGGATGTCATGCTTAATATATTTCCTACTCCTCCTATCTAATTGGTCATCAGTTCCTGTTGATTGTAATTCATAAATATGCCTTTAGTATGTGTCAGAACCAGTGCATTAGCTCTGCGGGTGTCCCCTCTCTCTTGGTTATTTTGATGGCTTTTTAACTGATAACCTGGCCTGCATCTATCTCTTCCTTCTATTCCAACTTCTACATTACTACCAATGAGAGCTTTTAAAAACTAAAACTGGATTTCTCTGTTTAAAATAAAACCCACCCCCTCATGTCAAAGGCTTAATGTCTGATCTCATTAGAAAGATGTGCAAATTCAGCTTTCCTCCTTTTCATAAACTCCTGTTTTTTTTTTCAATAACATCTGATACTACACCTCCACTGCACAAACCAGCTAAACAAAGGATGCATTGCTCCCCAAATGTGCTCTGCTGGATTCTATTTCCTTTATATAAGAAAACCATTTTGTTTTTCCTCCTAATGAACTCAATTCACCCTAAAAGCTATAAGTCTGTCAATTCTGTGAAGCTTTCCAAGGGCATCATTATTTCTTCCTCTAGCCAAATACTTTGTGCACACATGCTTGTGTGTCTCTGTGCATGCCTATCATGTGGAACCCAGCACACTGTACAAGTGATATTTGGGAATATCTTTAATTCAGAATGGAGATAATATAAAATACCTCCTCTAACGATATTGGAATTAAACTACAAATCAATAATAGAGATAACTGGGAAGTTTCAAATATATAGAAGTTAAACAGCAAACCTCTAAATAAACTATGCGTCAAAGGGGAGGTCAGAGGAAGAGTAAAAAATATTTTGAGCCACTAAATAAAAATTAAAACTGCATTTATGGATATAGCTAAGACAGTAGTTAGAAAGAAAATCACAGTATTAAATGGTTGTATAAAAAAGACAATCTTAAATCAGTGATACAGCCTTTTATTTTAAGAAACTAGGAATTAAAGAATAACTTAATCCTCCCAAAAAAGAAATAAAGAGAAAATTAGAGAAAAAGAGAAAGGACACAAATTATCAATATCTGAATGAAAGAAAAAACATCACAACAACTCCTATAGATTTTTAAAAGGACAATTAAGGGATATTCAGAACAATTTAGTAGAAAGGTGGCAATTCTAAAGAAACAGTGAAATGGAAACTAAAAAATCCAACATAAACCTAGCAAATAGAAGACATAACCAAAGATCACTCAAGAGAAATAACTAGAGCAATCCTGTATCAATTGAGCATATTGAATTTATATTTAAATGTCTAATGAAGCACAGTCAGTTATATTCAGTGGTAAATGAAACCAATAATTGAAGGAAGAGATAACCCAATTATTTGTGTACGTTCCAGACAACATAAGCAAAGTAAATACTCCGCAATTCATTTTAAAAGGCCGCCAATAGATAACATCAGATAACAAAACTAGACAAAGATATTATAAGAAAAGAAATCATGTTAATGTTCTGCATGGACACAGCTATATCAATAAAATATTACAAATTTAAACCCAGCATTATGTGAAAAGAATCGTGATTTAGCAGGATTTAGTTTTGTAATGACAAGTTAGATCAATAGGTATTACCTGACTTATTGATGCATTTTATTCCAAGAAATTTGTTCACAGTGCAATAGAGGTCATCAGTGCAAACACACTGTTTAAATTGGAAATTGCTTTCCACCAACGACTGGATAGTCAGATTGCAGTGTGATGAATTAGTAATCTCGCAGGAGTCACCTGGATTTCATAAAGATATAACACTTCAGATGTTAATTTGAATTTTTTTTAGCTTTTTTTCTCCAAAATGCTTGAAATGTGTTAATATCAGTGTTTATAAGATTTTCTAGGGTTGATGAAGATTGTTCACATAGGTGACTTTTTACTGTATTTTTTTTTTTTTTTTTTTTTTTTTGTACCAGGGATCGAACTTAGAACCTTGCGCTCGTGAGGCAGGTGGCAGAACCACTGAGCTAAATCCCCGGCCCTTTACAGTATTTTTCTCATAAGAACCTTTCTGCATTTTAAAATAGCTTTGTCCCTACACAGAATGACAATTTTTTCTTGTCACTATATGTAAGCTGCCCTTGTGCAAGGTGACTGGAGTGCTCTTTAAGCTATTTTGTCAGTTTAGCTATTTTATTTGTTATTTTATTTTGTGTGTATTTTGGCACTAGATTTATTATGAGAAATGACATGGTCCTGGCACTTAGAAAGCACTCAATACATTTTATTGAAGGAATGAGTAAGCTGTTCTTACTACCAATATTTTATCTTCTGCTTTAATTTGAAAAGTCAGATTTCTCTACCCAAAATTTTCTTTTATTCATTATTCTCAAGACAACGACTTCATTTCATTCCATTTGTGCATTTGAAAATATTTCTATTTCAGCTCCATGCATAAAATAATTATGCAAACATTACTGCAATTACTGCAAATGACTTGCTAGTAGTTACTAAAATGCATAAATAATTATAATTCACGACACACATTTTAAATTGCTTTATAAAATGCAACAAGGACTTTCATTATCAAAACACATAACAGATTTTTTTTTATCATTCTTTGTTCTCATCTTAAAATTATTGTTATTTTGAGCAAAGTATGCTTTTGAAATTATTTTTCTTAAACAGTAATATAAAATTTGGATTAGATAGCTAACAACTTTCCTTCAAGTGCAAATATTCCATGTACTTTATCAAAGGCAGAGGGAAGGAGAAACTGCCGGGCTTTCTCCACATCCTGTGTTTCATGAAGTCATGTCTTTGGGCAGAAAGCCCTCTGGAGGAGACTGCGTGCCTTGTTAGAACCACAGATTTCTGACTTTTGACCCAAGACAATTTTAGGTAAAGAAATCAAGTGAGGATAGGCTAGAGTCATGAGCAGGAAATGAATGAGAAACAAAATAAACTATAGGAGATCATGATTTTATTTTGCTCTCTATGTTTCTCCTACTGTTCCACGAAGTTCATCAGATTTTGATAGTATTATACTATTCATAATACAAGATGATTTGTCACATTAGAGTACTTTTTTGAATAATTTTATCATTACACTATTAGGGCAATGGCCCACTATTTAATTACTTTATTACATCTATCTTTACTGAGGGAAGTCTTATTATAATGTTCTTATTCAATATTTATTCAGCTACTTGAATATTCAGGCATAATTTTTTTAACAAATGCTAGTGATCTTTCAATCTTCACATTCTCTCTCATGAACCTTCCTTTGAATGGAATGCACAATACGTTTAAAGTAAAAATAAGCTTTAATTTGCTCTCAACAAAGTTGGAATGGGATATAATGTACATATTGCAGTAATATAAAATATATATTATACTTATACAAATGCATAATGTATATGTGCTGCCAAAGCAAGCACAACCAATGCATAATGTAATCACCAGTACTCTTGTTATTTAACAAATTAGCATATAAGCAAAATGATACTTTACTTGGAAAATATTTTTCTCTGATTCTGAGAAGCATGCATATAATTGTAACATTATGCATGTGAGATATGCAAGAAAATTACTTGAAATGTTATACAAAGCTGCCCTCAGTGTCAATATACTAGGTCCCACTAAAAACTAACAAAATTCTTTTGTATCTAAATTCACTAATCAGTGATTAAATGTAAATCAACTAAATGCTAAGATTTAAAAAGATATTTATAGCAAAACTAGCTTAGTTCTTAGAATTTTATTAGACATTATCAAATCTTGTATTTATCTTTGTAAAAAGAAGTCATCTGGGCTTATTTTTAGCAAGTCGCTTTACCTGAAATACTGCAGGCATCTTCCACTATTCCCCAAGCATGTTTACAGGCAGTTCCATCGCTTAGGCATTGCTGTCTTAAATACACACAATCTTTGCTTTGAGAAGTAGATTTATTTTCTGAGCTGAGTCCCATAGCTTGAACAACAAAAAAGCATAACAAGATAAGTTTGCAGTATTACAGTTTGGTGTCCATTTTCTCCAAATCTAAATTACTAATGTTAAAAAGCAGAATTATAGGAAATAAAACAAACTAAAAAGAAATGAGTCTTAATCTCTCCTTTAGCTATAAATCTATGTTTCTCCTATGCAAGACTCTTAAACGAATAGGCTGCATTTGCTCTCTCTTCATTCTCACCATCTATTCACTTCTTAATTTATAATTTATGAGTATTGTTCTATCAACACTATTCTTTAATTGTATCACTTTTGCAATGTCATGTTTCATAGTTTTAAGGCTTTGTTTAACCTGTTTTTGGTCAATAGTCATCTTAGGCACTTATTTCATTTTGAGACTGTCTCTTCCTTTGGCAACAGTGGTAGTTAAGCTTACTTCTGTCAATTTGCTTAGCTTGGGAGTCACCTAGGGGATTGGTAAAGCATACTTCTGCATATGTCAGAGTTGGTCATTGAGGCTTGATTTTGGATTATATATATGGTCGGTGGGCCCTTTCTAAGCAATTTTGTTACAGCACACCCTTCTGCCACAATATTCTTGACTTGATCCAACCTACATGGACGGAATCCCCTGAAACTGTAAGCCCCATTAAATCTCTCCTCCTTTAAGTTGTAGATGTCAGGTATTATATATTCCAGTGAAGGAAAAAATGACTGATCCAGAAAATTAGGTCCAGAGAAGTGGGACTGCTGTTGGGGTGGTACCTAACTATGTTCCTCAGAAACCTCTGAGACTTGTTTGCAGGAGGAATTTGGAGATGTGGCCAAGAAAAAGCCTAGAAAGTTGCAAGCAGGGCACATTGGGCAATTCTGCTCGGAAAGACTATATAAATAAGAATTTTGGACAGTAAATACCAGGCTCATGAGTTTTCAATTGGGAACCAGGATTCTTTGGGGAGATGGATTAGAAGCCAAGCAAGTTAAATTCTGGCAAAAAAAAAATTGCCTACATTTTGGTCATGTGCTGTGACTTTGCAGTAAACTGAGATTAAGGGCAGAAAAAAATTGATATGCTGGAGGAAATTTCAAGGCAGCCTAACATTCAGGCTGTGGTATAGGTATTTCTGATGGCTTTTATTGTGCTTTATAGTGGGAATCAGAGGCAAAAATAAGAGTTAAAAAATTTGAAAAACTTAAATATTGGTCCAAAAAGAAATTTGGGGCCAAAGGAAGTATGATTGCTGAAGAGATTAGCACCATTAAAAAGAGAACAAGTGCTTTTTACAGAAATAAGAAGAAAGATGTCATGAAAGAAACTCAAATCAGCAAGAACCTACCCATACCAGACTCAAGAGTGCAAAAGCATCAAACTTTCATTTGAGGAGAGAGACCCTGGGACCCTTCCTCAATAATGGTCTCCTATGGAATTGGTTCCCTGGGATTCATTTCACTCTGTGCAACTATCTAGGCACTCAGAAGCCACTACAGCCATGGTCCAAGGGGGCCTGGTAATACCTTACAGTCCTTGACATCATCTAAGAGATGCTAGTTTTACTGGCACGCAGAATTCAAGAGTTATGGAAGACTTCCACTCAGATTTCAAAGGAAGACTTGAGCAGCCAAGTAAGAAACCCCTGAGAGATCAGTGCACAAAGCTATGGAAATGAAGCTAAAGTTGCAATGGAGAACCTACAAGTCCAAGATGCTAGGATTGTAGAATTGCTGCAGATGAAATCTGTGTGGACCCAGCCCAAGAAAGAGGCCATGTAGGCTGCAAGCAGGAAGGCCACAGGGGTGGGGTCACTCAAGTCCCTAGAATTCATATATCACCACTGTGTCCCCCAGGTACTAGACATATGGATAAGACTCAATGTTTTCCTGATGAGTTTTAGTCTTGCTTTGGTCTGATTCTTTCTCATCCCTCTATCCTTCCCTTCTGGATTGAGAAGTTTGTAAGTCCCATTGTACCTTCCACTTGTTTTTCATTTTAAAGGTGTTCATAGTTAAGAGTTTGCCTGAAGTCTCAGAAGAGTCTTTGACTTTGATTTTAGAAAATTGTTGGGACTGTTGAGACTTTGGAACTACTACATGTTTGGTTGTAAGCAAGGTAGTTGTAGCTATTTTTGCCGAGTTGATTCTCACTTTTAGCATTTGACTAAAGCATTTACTGGTCAGTCTGCCTCCAGTTGCATCTTATTCAGATGGGTTCTTTGCACTCTTTAATATACTGAGATAGTACCAATCTCATACTGTTATACTGTTGTTTTCTGTTTAGTTCTTCTGGTTGATTCCTCATTGTATAGTTCTCATATTCTTTACCACGTGTAATCTTGCAGACCTCAAGCATGTATAGTTCCCAGCTGCTCCATGCTGCCTTGCATCTGTATTTGCCATCTGTTTTCTAGTAAATACTCTATTTCTGTTTCCCTGGAAAAACTACCTTTTTCCTTTAAGACTGGCCATAATAATTACCTACTTTAAGGTAATTTTCTTTCTGTTCTTCACTTTCTCACCCTGTGTGCAAACTGGATGGCCATCCCCCATCTGTCTCTATGGAATTTAGGGAATTCCCAACTGGGCAAGAATTAGGGGTCACTCATGATTGTATTCCCAACATCATGGTTCATTTTAGATATTTAGTAAATGTATGTTGATTTATACCAAACATGGTTGCTCATAGATAAGCTAGAAATAAATAGTACCTAATAAAATAGTATCTTCCAGATATTTACAATTTATGTTTACAAAAGACTTTAGCAAGTTTTCTAAAAGATGAAGGAAAAGGCAATGCTAATTTGCTATATTACATGTGAGTCAAATTCATTCTGCAAACATGAAAGTTAATATTTTCTTAACTAATAGAAAAATATGGGAATCACAATTGAGTTATAAGGACAGTTTTTATAGTAACTCTAAGCTATATCTTAATCAGATCCAATTATTTGAGTATTTTAAAAGATGGTGTTAATTATAAATCATTTTGACAATATAGTCATAGGTTTCAATTAAAGCCTCGAAATTGTTTCTGTTATCTTACCTCTTTCCAAACCTTGTTTCCTAAGAAGAGTACAGGACCACTGATTGGATCATGTGTATTTTCTACTGGGTTGCTGCATTTGCAGGTTGGGAACACGGATGTGGCCGAGCCTGGGTCACATTTTTCTTGTTGAGGGCTAACCTGGAAGTGGACGCATCTGCTGTTTTTTTCAGGAATTCATGGACAACCTCATCTAGCCAATCTCCTTTACTCTCAAAACTATAGGGCTAGAGAAAGAGGGCCCTTTTGATAGTGTTCCTTGGAGTAGTCTAGTTTTCCGAAGACCACTAAATTGAATTTCTTATTAAAACTTCAATGTATAAGAAACTGGCATTTCAGTTGCCGTTGATCATTATAGCCTGTGAACAGCTCCCTCAAGAACCTTATAAGTGATGGTCTCCTTGATGTATCATCAGAACCTCAACCTCATTTATGAATTCTTCATGTTACTTTTCCCAAACCTACTCCACTTCCTTTCAAATTTTCAATTTTTTGTTGAATAATTCACTTAGATTATTATTTTACATGACTTTTCACACCTTCCACTTAAGTGCAATACAGAGTCAAATAAAGACATCACCTCAAAGGTTTAGCCCACATGAACCAAAAAGATAATATCTTTCTAAAATCTGCTTTATTCAGTCCTGACTGTGATTTGTGACTGTTTTTAATTCAAGTTTTTCCAGAAATTCTCCTGAAAAGCTAAGTGAAAAGTAACTTTTACTTTAAAATTAGTAAGATGAAGAATGTGTACAGTATATAATCCCACCAAAGATGGGTAAAATTAATTAGTATATTAAATCCTCTGAGTTTAGAAAAATCACTATTTCTCAGATTTCTTTGGCAAGAGAAACCTCCCTTATTACAAGACTGTATGTATGATATTAACAAAAACTGAAGAATGCAGTATGGGAAATGCTTTTGGTCCTAATGAAGTTAAAAACGAATTTTCTCCTTCATGCATCCTGGTTTAAAGTTTGATTTAGAAGTCAAGGATGAAATCAAAGACCTTTGCCTTTCCAATTGAGGCCATAGTGAGGCTGTAATGTATTGTGTGTTCTGTTACACTACTGCCTGATCCGCAAAATTTAAAATCTCTTAAATTTCTCTTTATAATAAAAATAG